AAAAAAAAGTGATAAAATATAAATTAATATAATATTTATATATAATTTCAACCAAATAATAATAATCAAAATATAATTGAAATTAAATTTTAATATACATAAATAAAATTCATTTACCTAATATTTATGCCGCAATAATATTGTTTCCTACAAAAACAATTTAAAAAAAAATTAGAATTGTAATTAAATTAATCAATAACCCAAATTAATGTTTAGTCAATTAGAAATAAAGAATAGCAGAGAAAAAGAGAAGAAATTGAGAAGATATAATTAAAAAGTAACATGAATATAGCATACGTATGAATAAGAACAAATTCAATAGCATTTTGATGGACAAGAAAGGAGGAGAGACAAATAAGGGAGGAGAAGAAAGACGAAGAAGAAGAAGAAGAAGGAAAGAAAAAATGAGCAAGTTATGTTGTTCTAATAATATATAGAGCATTTTACCTATGTACTGTTGGTCGGAATTTTTTTTACCGACGTAATACACATAGGGAACAAATAAATTTCAGCGGGAAAAGAAAAATACAAAAATTTTGTAATCCTGCTTTTAGTTTACCGACAAGATGCTTGTTGGAAAGTCAAAATGCAAAAATTTTGTAGTTCCCTCCATCATTTACTGACAAAATCTATGTTGGCAAGTGAAGAGCAAAAATTTCAAGTTCCTGCCATCAACATTACCGACAAAAGGCTTGTTGGAAAGTTCACCAGAATTTCATCGTTAATCATTAGAATTTCACCAGAAAATTACTGAAAATTTCTTACTAAACATCTATAAAATTTACCGAAAATAACAAATTTGACAATGTTGATATCAAATAAATTAATCACAATATTTTATGCTTAAACTATAAAATAGTATAAAAAAATACATAAAACATTTAGATTTAACAGAAAAATAAATAAAAAATAATAATATTAGTTATACTTCACTTACCACTTCTCTATCTACATACTATGGGAAGAAAAAACTTTAATCTCTCACGATTTGGCTTGCTGAAAATAATGGAGGAAAGGGAAACATAGTTATAAGAAGAGGAAAACAAAAGCTGCAGGTTCCTTGACTTCACCAGGCCCAGTTGGAGCAGAAACAGTGCTGGAATATTACCGAGAAGGTGCAGGTTGCAGGAGGTATTAATTTCTGATGCCAGCTTCGTCGGTAAGAGGAAACCTCATCACCGACAAACTTCACGTTTTTGTAGGATGAAGTTACCGACGAAGTTTTCATCTGTACTCGAAATAACATAAATTAATGTAAATTTTACTGTTTTACACAGCAAAGACATGTTCTTTGTCGGTAAAATCGTTATTGACCGACAAAAACTCTCATGTCGGTAATATTTAGTCGGTGATACAAGGTTTTCTTGTAGTGTACCAATATGCCACATCAAGTTGGTAGAAAAGAAAGGAGTAAATTGTTGCCACAAGTCTCAAGTTCAAATCCTTGGAATGAGTTGGGAAGTGATATATAGCTAACATAAAAGACTTTCTTGGAGATTCTCCTCATCTACAATTCTTATCATAAGAAACTATTGATTCAGATTCTTTATAATGCATGTTAGGTAACTGCAGTTCAGAATATCTCCTTATCAGTAACAATCACAAAAAAAGAAAAAGGGCTAAGCGGAATACTCAAAACATCTCCTACCAAATAGTTTCCCAGATACATCTAAATTTCAACCATAATGGATGCCATCTGAAATTCAAGGTCAATTTAATATCAGATGATCTGTGTTTTATTGGAGTTCCGAATTAAAACCCACGCCAATCTCAAATTCAAAAGTTCACTTAGAATGAAAATTGAATAGCCGATAGTCTGCTTCATTACTTGACGTTAATCCAAGGTCACATATCTAAAAACCATAACAAGCTTCCAAGGGACAGACTAATTATACCACAGTGAAGCTTGCGCAAAAAAGAACGCATAGGAGGTTCGACTCCCACCAGGAAGACTAAAACCGCAGTTAGAAAGCAAGTAATTCAATCATGTTGCCTCCAAGTTTTATAATTTTGGAATTCAATGGTCCCTTAATTCTCTATTTTTCTTTTGTACCTTCGGAGGATGCCATTCTTATATGTTTATCATCCCATAAAGAAGAAACCTTCACTCATGCTTACTCTCCAGTCCTCTATCAAGAAGAGGAAGGACAGG